TCTCACAGCGCCAACAGGAAAACTAAATTTTGCCCCCCACATTCACAATCCCTCCACCCACGGGGCCCAAGACACAAGGTGGCCTCACAGACATTTCCATCTGAAGACTGTTCAGAGGCTTTACTGGTCAGTTTGTCCCAGTCCAGGTGCAGTTGAACAGATATCTCTATCCCCCAGGAACATCGCAATGAACTACATATGCTTGGGGAAAGTTTTAGAAGAAAGATTAAGAGAGCTTGACTGACCCTTTCAGCTGGTCTCTCTTGGTCAATGCTGGGACACATTGGTGGCAGGTTTGGTAGGCACTTTGTAACCACACTATTTCCAAGGCTTCTGGACTCATAACTAGAAACAGGGAAAGAAGAAGATGCTTCATTTGCAAAGCACAAAACATTTAAGTGAATTAGTATCAGGCCAAAAGATCCAGACAGGTTCCTCTGTATACTACAGGGAGTTCTTTAGCTTTCTTCTATAATGAAACTAAAGCCCAACTATATGAGCGTCCTCTTGATCGGTGTTTTCCAAACTTGGGTCACTGGGCCATCAGGGTAAGCTGCTGGCAGGCCTGCGCCACTTTGTTTACTTAATATCTCCATAGCCACACAGTTCCCCTTGGCTAGAAATGGTGAACTGCAGCCAATGGAGGCTCCATGGCTACGGACACGTTAAATATACAAAGCAGCATGGTCCCACCAAAGGCTTACCCTGGCGATCCCGCAACCCAAGTTTGAAAAGCACTGCTGTAGATAGTCCTTAGAAAACAGGCACCTGAACCACACAATAGGATCAAGGACTTCACATACACCGAAACCATTTTGCAAATATGTGTAGCTAGAAGGTAAATTCTGCATCACAACGGCACGGAAGGAACAGCTGGGAATGCTGTGTAATGATGGTTTTAACTTGACCAATACAGTGTAAAGTCAGCGGCTTGTCTTCCACAGGAACCCCAAGGTGTATTATTATGCTCCTGTTAAATTGCCAGCCAGTATGAGAGCACTCAGTGCAAAAGATGCCAGAAGTCAAAGTCCTTATGCCTTGCTCTATTTAAGTTTATAATTCTCAGTGTGCTGACTGATTCTCACAAGACTCCTATATTGCAAGCACTTCCTGGCCAAATCTGCCTCAGTACACTAAGCATGCACTTTTCAAATTCAACACCCTCTGTAGAAATGGTTACAAACATAATAAATACCCCTGCCACTTTTACAGGCTCTCGTTTAAATGTTACTCCACAAAGTGAGGTAGTAAGCATGTACTTGGTATCATTATGGACAGTAATATTGATAAGCAGACTTTCATGAGCCATCTATGTCTTTAAGCCTCTGCTGTTAATTACAACTGAGTTACAATCTTGTGGCCAACAGTTACATTTTGTAGGGTTTTGCCACGTAACAATTATATGGAGGGCTCTTAAACTAGGCTCTTTGAGGATGATTACTTAGCTAATTACAATGAAGCAAATCAGCAGCAATTGAATGAAATCAGTGAAATTATAGTGCTGCAAAACCAGAATGAGAAGAGAATCAGGCACACTGACTCCTGCCCTACCCTCTGTGAACTGTCATAGGAATTCAAAAGAGCTAAAGAGGTAAAGAAACTTCTTAGCTCATGTACAAGGTGCCCTTGGGGCACGTGACCAGGATTCATCACCAAATTTGGTCCACTGTGGGTTCATTATCTTCCCCGGCCTGAGCTGAGTACTGATGAGGAGAGCTCTCTTCACTAGCCCAGTGTGAGACACATGCACAGAATGCAAGTCCTTTCCTCTCACGCCCTGATAGTCCGGGGAATGGGATGAAAAGCAAGCCACATCCAGGAACACAAGGCTGCTGCTCCCCCTTCACCCTCAAACTCTGCCCTTGATATGTACCTGGTCTGCATAGGATTACTAAAATGTTTGCTGATCCCTATGTGCAGTATGAGTGATGTGTGCCAGTTAGATAAGCCTAAAGTGCTAATGTCTATAGTGATACTGAAGAATGGAATTCTGAAACAAAGATAGAGCCCCATGATTCTCTGTATGTACCACATGACTCAGAATGCTTCTCAGGATTATTGGTAATTTCAAAGCAAGTGGTGTCGAAGATCAGGGAACAGAATGCAAATCTGGATCATGCTGAGGGGAGTTCTCACTTGACCTCTTTATAGTTTCAAGGAATCCAAAGGAATTGGATTGGATCAAAATTCTACAGAATTTCAAAGGAGTTGGATTGGGCTGCAATAGATAATGGGAGATTTCAGTCTTAATCTCTCAAATTAAATATGTCAGATTCAAATAAGACCATGGTTTTCAAACTGGGGTATGTGAGCCCTTGGCAGGGGATACATGAGAAAAATGCTGTAATAGTAGACAATGCAATTTATTTAGTACAGAGGCTTTCAAGCTATGGAGCATGGCACCAAGGGGGAGAGGCAAGTGGCTCCACTCAACTGAGTTACAATTTCTGGTTGTGCCCCTAACCTAACCCAGGCAGGTGAGATGGCCCACTGAAGTGAATTGGGAGTGAAGGTGGCACTCCCTCTGAGCTGCCTGGCATTGCCACTGCCCCAGAAAGTTCCTGTGAGCCCTCCTGGGCACCCACACTGTGAAAATTTCTGGAGCTGTTGCTACAAAGAAAGCAGAAACCTAGGGAAGAGGCAAGTGACCCAGCGTGCCCCCTTCACATCGCTTCTGCCTCTCTCAGTAAACTCTATGGGTATGTCTAGACTGCATCCCTCTGTCAGCAGAGAGATGCAGATTAGGCAGGTCTCCCTTATGCCTCCTGCAAGGAGGTTTATAGGCTTTCTTTCTCGACAGATCTCCCTCTAGACTGGCGCTTTTTGCCGACAAAGTGCTGAGTCGGCATAACCCGGTGGCCATTTTTATGCAAATTAGGCATGGGATATTTAAATCCCTGCCTCATTTGCAATGTCGACCTGCCTAATCTGCAACTCTCTGCCGACAGAGGGATGCAGTCTAGACATACCCTATTACTTGGAAAGGGGTACACAGCCTAAAACCTTTGAAAGCTACTGATGTCACAGATGACGATCCTCCAGGAGAAGCTCCAGGAGATGCACTAGCTCCCATCACTACGCCTAATGTTCAGAATTCCGTGTCTTCCCTGGTGTTGGCTTTCTGGCCTATGTGTAACATAAGCTTATAGGTATGACAAAAGACTGATGTGTGAGAAATATATAAGATGTGTGCGCCCAGAACACCATTACAGTCACTTTAGGGGAAAGACAGATAAATGCGGTCTCAGTAAAATGGCTTCCAAAGCCAAACAGCCCTCCCTGTAACTTTAAACTGATAATTTGTCATTTTAGCTTTTTCCTCACCCTATACACTCTGCGTGGGAAAAGTCCTCCGGATGAGATTTGTCATTTTATTCTGCTGGATCCAAAGAACTTACGCATATCTGGAATAGTTATACATCATCTCTGCTCTCTGAACACTGCATTGTTAAAGCTGTTTATACTGGGAAAACATTTCTAATCCCCAAATGGAATATGTATTTATAGGCACGTGTGCAGACACACACGCAATTTGTTTAAAATACCCTTCCCCTGAAAAAAATCTCCTCGCTAGCTCCAGCACAGCATTTCCTCAGTGGTATCCTACCCCGCTTTTGAGAAGCTCTTCCAATGAAAAAATCCATCACCCTTGTAACATTAAAATATAACTATTATCTGGTTAAAATATGAGCATTGTTGCAACCACTGTTATACGTTTGCAACAAATCTTGTACAAAATGTGGTATGTAAGAGGTCTATGGAAAGGTTGTGAGTGGCTCATCTTACCTGACAATGGACCATGGGAAATGCCCATCTACATTGAATGGACTGTCCTACACATGCTGTCTGGCGTATAGGTAATGATTTCTTGCTCTGGCTAAGCAAAATTATGCATGGACATGTGATTCCAAACCCCATCTTTTACCCTAACATTTCCACTAGCTGCGCTGAGATCTTTGTTTGAAACAATGGGTTTTCATCCACATAGCAGAAGCTATAAAAGGCCCTAGAGTTACCTCCATTTTGCTTCTTTTCTGCTCACATTTCTAGACCTGTGTTTCTTAAACTGTGTTCCATGGCACACCGGAGTGCCGTGAGGCATTCAGGGGTGCGCCACGGAGAACAGAATTTTTTTTTTTTTGCTCAGTAACTTCCCCCGACCCTTCCCCCCCCAACTTCCCCCCCCCCCCAACAAAAAATCATTGGTGTTCCTCAAAAAAATTATTTGTTGTTCCTCAGTCTTAAAAAGTTTAAGAAACACTGCTCTAGACTATGGACTTATACTAATGGGAGCATGCTAATGAAGGAACTGAGGTCCTTTCAATGATTTGAAGTGGTCAGAGACTTGACTTAAGCCAATAGTTTATTCTATCACTCCTATAAGCCTGAATCAAGAATTTTGCACGTATTGTATACATTTGATTCCTTTAACCAATTAGATTTTAGATACTAAAGGATTGGCAACAGCATGATTTTTGGATAAGATCTGAGTTATATATTGGTTTGAGTTTTTTAGATGTCTTAGAAGCTGTTCAGGAGTTAGATTTTTTATAGCCAATATCTATATTTTATATCTGCTGTGAAGTGTTCCCTGTAAGCTGTGTGCTTGTGAGTCTGCTCAGAAGAAATTCAAATGCCACCCAGTTGATTAGAAGAGTGTCCACAGCTAGGTTTTATGTTTCTATTGGTGATGCACATGCACATGCCTCCGTGCACATGAAAAATTATGTCGCATGTGTATATAAAAAAATCTGCATATGCATTAAAAAGATTAGAGGGAACATTACTGCTGTGGTTTGTATTACTGAGACATTAGTATTAGCTATTTTTGAAAAAAATATTTATTTTGTAAATAATCTTTAAGCATTTCCTGGAGATTAACAGTCCCATAAATAACTACACTGACTTTGTAAAAAAATGAATTTAAGAAAAAAAAAAGTTAGGTCACATATTTGGCCTCAGTAATCTTGACAGTTAATAAATAATAAAAGATGCGGTCAAATTTTCCAGATTCTGTTTTTAACAAAGGGGGGGGGGGGGGGGGCAAAATATTTGAAAAAAAAATCTTGGTTTTAAACCAGTAGAAAGTGACCATACTAATACTTTGCACTTAGATCTCACTGTACATCTTTCCAAACATTAAACTTATCAAACATTAAGGGATTTAGCCAGTTGGCTGCCCTAAGAAGTGGGTCAGAATTATCATGTCTTTTTTACATATTGTGACTCAGATTCTCTGAGACTCTTCACTGCGGGAGACTTCAGTGGGAACGAGAGCCACCCAGGTTGCCTATTTCCCAGTCATGTCATTTCTTCAGAAGAGCAGTTTTCCACATAACTAAGTG